GAGGAAGGAAGGATGGGAGGAAGGAAGGGAGTGAGGGAGGGAATGAGGGAGGAAGGAAGGAAGGAAGGAAGGAAGGAAGGAAGGGTGTTTATTAGCCACATTCTAGCCACATTGATCATACATCATATCAAGGACAAGTCAGACAGCAACAACTGCTGGAAGCTAGATCAGCCTTCCCAACCCTAGTTGTCTTCCATAACACGGACTCCAACTCTCGCCATATACAGAGAGTGAGGGAGGGAATGAGGGAGGAAGGAAGGAAGGAAGGAAGGAAGGAAGGAAGGGTGTTTATTAGCCACATTCTAGCCACATTGATCATACATCATATCAAGGACAAGTCAGACAGCAACAACTGCTGGAAGCTAGATCAGCCTTCCCAACCCTAGTTGTCTTCCATAACACGGACTCCAACTCTCGCCATATACAGAACAGCCCAGCCACTCATGCCAATGCATCTGGTATGGAACTTGTGGACAATCTTTGCATGTTACCTTGGGAAGGGATGTTGAGATTACGGGCAATTCAACATTGTGTGTTACCCCAACATTAGGAGGGCACTTCCTCGGTTGGGGAGGGGGGAAGACCGAGCTAGATGTCAGCATTTAAGGGCAGGTGGATTTCCATGGAGAAATCCCATGAGCCAAGCGCAATGTCTTCCTTTCCTCCCTCCACATTTCTTCTATGCCTCCTTCAAGCAAGTAAGGATCCAGCCCCAGTTGGCCAACACAACATGTCGGATGAGCTGTAGCTGGGAACAAAGATCATCTTTGACTCGAACATCTCTCTTTGGCTGTATTATAAATTCCAAATTGGATCAGCTTTGCTCATTTCGTGGAAATACTACCTTCAGTGATATTTTGGTGTCCCTAAATTCTCAAAAAGATACCCACTGTGAGTGTGAAGCAGCCAGCAGCCATATAACACATGGTTTTCCATCAAATTTTCTCAGGCTATAGGTTGGTAGTCTTCTGAAAGTCCCTAGCTTGCTTTCCCAATTTTTTTCATGTTTTACCCATTAATGTTGCTCTAAATTCATCTTATATGGCTTGCCACTGGTGAAACTTGGGAACAGCTCTAGCTGTATGTGATACTGCAGCGTAGTGGAGGCCAGCGAGTCCAGTTCCTAAGGAAGAGAGAATCTGCTGATCTGAACTTTACAGAAACTCTTGAAGGTGCTGATCCATCTCCCTAAAGAACTCCAGTATCTTGGTCAGCTTCTTCAAAATCTAGACTCAAGCTCACAATGGATGGTCATCAGCCTCCATTGCTACAGCACCATGGAAGAATGAGGATTCTGTGGAGTGGACCCCACACAGGTCCAGCTTGGGAACTCATCCAGTTGCAGATGGACACCTAGTTTTTGCTCATATCCATGGGCATGGTTCTAGGTTTGCCCCATCTCGGTTGGCCTGCCTCTCTAGGCTTCATGGCACTTTGTACTGCTTTTGATGGGGAGTCAAAAGTCTCTTTTGCTTTTATTTTGCAATGGTGTCTCTACAACCTTCCTGTGTTCCAGGGATCACCCCCCTCACCATATGTGCCTTTGACATCATGAAGCATGGGTGGGAACTGGCTTGGATGGCTTCCCTGCAGCCTCAGGATTATTCCCAAGGATTTCCCCTGTAGAACGAAGCAAACCCAATTGCTTAATAGAGGCACTTTGGGGAAATGGGGTGGGGGAGAAGCACCTCCCAAGTCTGTGAGCTTGCCAGCTTAGAGTACCCCCAAGGACCTCCACTTAAGTCCTATTGAAGTCAAGCCCTTAATTGAAAAGCACAGAGTATTAGAAGAGGAGCAGCTATGGAGGGGGGAAAACGGTGGGGAAGGAAGCTTTCTTGTTCTTTTTAAGTGGGCCGCGTGTTCTCTTCCTTGCCAGTTCAGGGGCAGGATCCAGTCTTTGAAAATAAAGTAGCTGGATGAGAAGGAAATCTTAGCAATTTGAGATGCATTTCGTTCAGTGTCTGGAAGAGGTTCTTTTCTGGATTATTTCACCCAAACCCCACCCTCTCCAGTTAATTCCAAAAGAATAACTTTCCTCACATATGCACTGGTTCCAGCAAAACGGAGATGACATTTAGGACCTTTATCCCAGGCACAGACATGTGCAAAAGCATGCTCCATGGAAAGTAATGGGATTTACACTTAAGTAATGGTCTTTCAGACTGGGGTGTCAAATCTGAGTCTTCTTTAAATAGGACATTTGCGGTCTTCCAAGGGACATCAAAGCTATGGTTTTTCTAGTAGTGATGTATGGAAATGAGAGCTGGACCATAAAGAAGGCTGACCACCGAAGAATTGATGCTTTTCAATTGTGGTGCTGGAGGAGACTTTTGAGAGTCCCCTGGACTGCAAGGAGAACAAACCTATCCATTTTGAAGGAAATCAACCCTGAGTGCTCACTGGAAGGACAGATCCTGAAGCTGAGGCTCCAATACTTTGGCCATCTCATGAGAAGAGAAGACTCCTTGGAAAAGACCCGGATGTTGGGAAAGAGTGAAGGCGAGAGGAGAAGGGGACGGCAGAGGATGAGATGGTTGGACAGTGTCTGCGAAGCAACCAACATGACTTTGACCCAACTCCGGGAGGCAGTGGAAGACAGGAAGGGCCTGGCATGCTCTGGTCCATGGGGTCACAAAGAGTCAGACATGATGTAATGACTAAACAACAACAAAGGGCATCATTCTGCAAAGACTACACTACACATCTCCCCAGCGCGCCATCCAAGTGACATTCTTCATTTTACCAAGAAGGGCAAGGTGAGGCTGTACAGAAATTATTGGTTAATTCACTTCAGGGCTTGCCATTGGCCATGCAGGCTATGAATGATGGGAGTTGTGGTTAAAAATAAAAACATTGGAAGGAAGCACTGATCTGCCACCTCTGTCTTAGACTTTGAACCACCTGTTATGATAAGATTAAAACTAAGTGAACATGCATAGCTGATGTAAGTCTGAAGGTGGCAACCTCCATCTCCTTAGATTACAGAGTGGGCAAGCACTGTGTTTGAATGCACTCTGATCTTCGGGCACCTTGTGAAACACTCACCAGAAAATACATGAAGACTAGGAAAATCTGAAGGCAAGAGGAAAAGTGGAAGGCCAATTATGAGATGGATTGACTCATTAAAAAAAAAACAGCCACAACTTTGAGCTTGCAAGACTTGAGGAGGGTTGTTAATAACAGAGTCTTCTGAAGGTCACTGTCTTCTAGGCTCACCACAAAGTTGAAGCCAACTTGAAAATAGTATGTAAATTAAACTACGTGAAAATTTGTAGCACATGGATGGATGGATGGATGGATGGATGGATGGATGGATGCATGGATGGATGGATGGATGGATGCATGGATG